GTCATTGTCCTGCTGAAATGTCCACCCATGTTTCATCTTCATCATCCTAGTAAATGATAGTAGATTTTTGTTTTATCAAGAATATCTCTGTGAATTTTTCCGTTCATCCTTCTTTCAATAATTTGAAGTTTGTCAGTACCAAAAAAACACCCCACACCATGATGTTCGCACCTCAAAACTTCACTGTTGGTATGGTGTTTTTGGGCCATTTGAAATCCAAACATGATGTGTATTATGCCATCTGAAGAGTTCAATTTTGGTCTCATCTGACCAGAATATATTCTCCCAGTATTTCTCAGGCTTGTGTAAATGTTGTGCAGCAAACTTTAGACAAGCTTCAACATGCTTTTTCTTCAGCAATGGAGTCTTTTGTGGTGAGCATGCATACAGACCATGGCAGTTGAGTGCATTACTTATTCTTTTCTTTGAAACAATTATACCTGCTAATTCCAGGTCTTTCTAAAGCTATCCACAAGTGGTATTTGGCTCTTGGACAACTCTTCTGATAATTACTCTTGCAAGAAGCATCTGATCATGGTGGGTTCATGGTGAAATTATGTTCTTTCCACTTCTGGATTATGGTCCCAAAAGTGTGCACAGGAACATTTAGAAGTTTAGAAATCTTTCTGTAACATGTGCTATCATTATATGCAGCAACAAGGTTAATGAGTTCTTGAGAAAGCTCCTTACTTTTACCCATATGTTTCTTGTGGGATACCAGGGTCACCTTTTCTATAAGCAATCATTTTAGACTTAACCAACTGATATTAGTTTGCACTTAAAAGGGGCAGGATTGCTTTCTAATTACTGAGAGATTTCAGGTGGTGTCATGGTTTTTCATGACTTTTTGCACCTTGCATTCTTCCTGTGTTTAATACTTTTCCCCAGCGGCGTAGGAAGCGGGGGGGACGGGGGGGACATGTCCCCCCCAATATAAAAGCCAGGTGGAAATGTCCCCCCCAAAAAATTGTACCGCAAAATATTAGATTTTGACATTTTTTTAACTAGCGTGCTTTTATTTTGAAGTCGCCGCATACCGTTACGTCACTGTACTCCCCCTCCCCTCTCTGAACTGCTGAGTGTTTGAGCACTCAGAAGGGAGGGAAACAGCAATACAGAAGTCAGAAACTTGTGAAAGAGGTAAAATGGTCTGTCGGGATGCTGCTATGAATATTGCCTATTTATAACCTCTTGTTGTCAGTTCACTTTCATATATAGAAACTGAATCTTTTTGGTATAGTCATTTTAGTCCTGTACGGAAGAGGATTAGGGCCACTGAAAAAAAAAAGAAGTTAACTGATTTTTAATATTTTTTCAATTTAACATGGGGAAAAAGTCAGAATTCTGAGATTAAAGTCAGAATTCTGAGAAAAAAGTCAGAATTCTGACTTTAATCTCAGAAATCTGACTTTTTTCTTCTGACTTTTTTCTCAAAATTCTGACTTTAATCTCAGAATTCTGACTTTTTTCTCAGAATTCTGACAGATAACTAACATATCAGCATCAAGCCATAGCCATGTCTGTTTTAGAGACTAGCTCTCTTGTTTTAATGACCTTCTGCTCCTCCATTAATGAGGGGACCCTCGGGCATGTAAAAAGTTGCCTAATTGCATCATATTCCACCAATGTGTCACTGGCCACCTCAAATAACTCACATCTTTGTCAGTGAAGCTGAGTGCTCCACATCTCTTCCTTCATGGTGCCCATCTACATTAAGATCCAAAATTATGAGATTAAAAGTCAGAATTCTGAGATTAAAGTCAGAATTCTGACTTTTTTCCTCAGAATTCTGACTTTTTCCCCGTATTAAACTGAAATAAAATTTAAAAATCACTTAACCTTTTTTTTTTTCAGTGGCCCTAATCCTCTTCCGTAGTGTTGGGCTGATCACTCATCCAATATTTAACTGCTAACTTTCTCTAGACGTTTGCTACGCTAGCCAAAATGTTTTTTTTTTATATATCTCATTTCAGTACATTGCCACCACCAGCTAAAAGGCTGAAACAGCAGCAGGACTTACTCAGCTTTTTTAAAAAGAGAAACGTCAGTGTGAGTAACAGTCACACAACACAAGGGCAACACAGGTGTTGAAATTAGCCCGGTCTCGGCGTGCGTTTTATGAGGATTTTTTATTTTTTGCGTGGTTTTGCTTCGCCGAAATGGACAAATGTTATACCTGCCGCGCTCCTGATCGTTAGTTAAAACCAAAGGGAGAGTTAATTTTAATTCTTAGCAGCGGCGGCTGCATTGGTTGTGCAGTGGACTGATGCACAACCACTAATTAACCAACTAATTAACTTCTACATCTTTATTTCCTCAGATAAACTGCTGGCTCCTCTTTTTAGACTATAAACAGATTAACACAACATTGACAAATCTGTAGTTTTCTCTGTTCTGTACTGCAAACTGGAATTAAAGGCGCCATTTCTACCAAAGGTCAGACAGACTGGCCACCTGTCTAGGGTGTACCCCGCACCAGCACCTCCCGACCCCACTAAGGGACAGGGTGTACAGAAAATGGAAGGATAGATGGATTTCTACCAAAGGTTTAGAATGCATTTTTGAACCAGATGCTGCAAAGCGCCCTGTCCATAATTCTTCAACACACTGTCAGCTCCCTCTGTCAGTCAACCTATATAAATTCATTTTTGACCATTATTGCAAGTTTGACAAAATAAAACATATCAAACTTTGCACTTGTGTGACCCACTGAATTGTTTTTAATCAAACTGAAATATTTGATTTTCTAGTGCGTATGCGGACACTAAACATGCCGAGGGCTGAAGCCCTAGAAAGACATCTCCCTTTGCTTAATAAAAGACTCCAGTCATTTTGTTTGGTGATATGCTCACATCTTATGAACAAATGCATTATGTAAATTTTAAATGCATTATTTTTGCAAGACACATTTATAAAGGAATAAAGTAAAAGATTAAATAGCCTTTTTTAAAGTAGCGTACTTAAGATATGTTTCTGTTGAATATTTACGAATCTCAGATTTCCGACATGTGTCCCCCCGAATTGTAAACATATTCCTACGCCCTTGCTTTTCCCTATGCCATTTCACTTTATTACACACAACTTAATTTCTAGATATCTATCGACTGATTTCTTTGTATGTGTGGATTGTTAACAACATCTGGTGAAAGTTAATGTCAATAGCACCTCTAGAAATATATTTGCTGAAATAAATGGTGCCATGTTCCATACTTATTTTACTTACTGTACAATATACATAGTTATGATCAAGAATTTTAAATATGAGAACATCAGCAAAAACTGGACATCCCTCATGACCTAATTTAAAATGCATTTCATATGCCATTAGGTGGCAAGAAAAAAAAATCATTTTCTGCCAATGAAGAAAATCTCCTTAAAGCATTCAAAGAAATGTGACATTGTAGTGATTTTGACTGTTTGATAGCACTACCTCTGTCTTCCCCTACTCCTTTATGTGCTGCATCAATTTGGATCATTGTTTTCCAGTGCCTAACCCCTACTTGAACCCTAATTACTTCTCATTTACTCCTCTTGTTCTACTGGCTTCATATACTGTTCTCTGGCTGAAAAAACAGTGCCAGATTTTTGAAAGCCTTTGAGGGAATAGCATCCGGTCTATCTTTTGGATCTGTCAGCCTGTGTTCAACCTTGCTTATGTGCCCTGACAACCAATTCAAGTTTGACCCTTGGATCCTTTTGCCTATTTCTGCTTACACGGCTTCTACCAAATTTCTGTCCCCTGATCACAGATTCTTGTTAACATCCCTTAGCAAAAAGTAGTATACTTGAAGTAAATTCTATTAAAAATACTTAAGTATAAGTATAAGTTTAGAAAGTATACCGAACAATGTACTTTTAGTGTACTTGAAGTATTCCTAAAGTAATACTTCTTCGAACTAAATTGGGACATTTTTAAGTTTACTAAAGTATACTTTAAGTATACTTTAGTAAACTTAAAGTATAGTTTATCAGTAAACAATAGTATAGTCAAGTACACTTGACTATACTATAAAATATAGTTTAGAATAAATAAACTCTAAGTGCACTGCCTGATTTTAAGTATGAAAGTAGTGCACTTTTAGTATACTTGAATAAACTACTTTTTGCTAAGGGCTCCGGTTTGCAAACCTGAGTGTTTTTCCCAAGTATTCTGATTGTTGAGCCTCTGGACAGAACTCCCTCTGTTAACTGAGGAGTCTTCTTCAATGCCTGTCAAGTCCACAGTGACGTTATTCTGCCACCAGCCTGCTATATCAAGGAGCGGGGATTCGGTATCCCCGCTTTCTAATGGATTCTGAGAAGGTTAGTGGTCTTATTTTTCAAACTTCACCTCATCCATGAGTTCCTTTCTCTCTCCCATCAAAGGTTCCTGATTCTTTTGCTGGTGGCTTTCTACCAATATAGAATATGATTTGCAACAAATACTTTAAATTCCATCTGCTGTGCCTATTCCAGAATGGAATATTTGCCGGTTATTCATAAAACAACAGGTAACATGTATTTTTTTGTTTTACCTTCAGAACCACATACAGAAAATGGTTAAAGATGCATATAAAAATTGACATACAGTTCCAAACCATAAAACATGACCAATCTGATCACGTGAAAGTAAAGGGTCAGATCAGTTAATTAAACTATGGTAAGCTTTTTTCAAATATTAAGATCTAGAATGCACCACAAACTAGTGTGATTCTAAAGTATTTGTCCTGTAAAAGTCAAAGTCAGAACTGGCTCTTGACTGTCAACCACATATCTGTGCAGTTAGATATTTTCTTCTCTTACATTAGCAGTAATAACATTGTTTAGGTTTGAGGAAAAAATTACAAATCTTCCTGGGGATATATGTACAAACAGAAATTACAAACCTTAAGATTTGTTTATTTATTTTCTCTGACTTGCTTTTTTTTACTCTTAGAGATCTGTTATAAGTGTGAACAACCTCTGTGAGTTATGCAAGGATAAAAGGAATCTTTGTGACAGTACAAATAGTTTAATCATACCTGTATGGCATTCGTGACATTCCAGCTTGCCTCCCAGGCAGTGATGGTGGAACAGGAATTCAGAGCTTTGGAATTGGTTCTGCGGCTCTGAACTGGTGTGGCCAGACTTGTCGTGGCACATTCTTGTTCAAGTGAAGTTAAGAGATCAAAGGCGTTCACCATTTTTACATCTTCATTTTCCTTTTTTATGTCTTCTGGGTGTCTCCCGCAAGGAGGTCTATGCATCACTGAGAAACTGATTCTTTTCTCCTGATTCTGGTTTAGGTTTGTCTTTCTATTGTTAGCTTGCTTCTCAGACAACTGCTTTTTCTCATTACTGCCTCTCGAGGTCTTGAACAAGCAGGAATCAGCAGAAACAATGATTTCAGATGTAGAGAGACATTCAGAATCTTCTGTTTCTGTAAACATTTGACCTTGTGGGCTGGCATGGAATGTGTATTTTGAAATTTTGCTTTTTTGCTTCTGGGTTTTGTCATCTTTATGTGTGAAAACCAGCCTGGTTTCCTCTGTGGATGATTGGTTTCTTTTGATGTCATCATTCTCTGTATTATGTTGGCGTTTGATGCTTTTACTGGGCAATCTCTCACCCTCAGTGTAGGCTTGACTCAATGCATCGTTGTGAGTCAGAACTAGCATCTCCTCGTCTTCTTCAAAATTCCTGTCCAGACAAAATATTTCTTTAAAAGGTATTTTATAGGAATTTTTTAATGGGATCTCTAAAGTACTATCATTCAATTGATCATAATTAGGAAAACTAAATTCTTATCATGCAGTTAAACTTAAAGGTTTTCAGACATTTTATGAATACCAAACAATTTTGTTAGTAAAATTGTTTCCATCGAAATATGGTTTGAAATAACAAAGAAGCTATTTTTTCATAATATTGTATTAAACATATATGGGTTCAACATATAACCGTAAAAAAACACAGAATTAAAGACTAGTTGAGAAAATAATTTTCCTCATGAGATGAGACTCACCGTGAGGTCAAGTCCAAGTGTAATCTTGACACAGCTCGTCCCCATAGAGACCAAACAACCCTCCAGGGCAGCCTAGCACTTGGACCCCAAAGAGGAGACCCCATCTTGAGCCAAAGCCTCAACACCCTCTGCCTCTGTATTCATGAGCTCTGAGTTATAACCTCACCTATTCCTGATTTATTATGTGTGCACAACACACACACGCAGTTGGACATAGTCTGCCCAAAAAAGAAAGTTTTCAAATATGGCATTTACATAGTGATTGACAGGTTGTTGAGCTGTAACTTTATAATTTGCCTGCGCTTTCAGCAGTGAAAAACTAAACATTTTAATGGTCTTCACAGCAGGTATGTTTACACTCAAAGAGGCAGTCACTGGGAAAAGAGCAGCCTTAGTATTTATTTCAAATTCTAAATCTTATTCTCATGGAATCTGAACCGGGTTTAGACTGCTTTGATCCAGTTGAACTTTCAGAGTTAGCAAAACTATTGTCTTCATCTAAGCCTTCAACGTGTATGTTAGATCCAGTCACAACCAGGTTATTTAAGGAAGTATTCCCTTTGATCTCACCCTCCATTTTATTTGATTAATCTATCTCTGTTACAGGGATATGTACCAAAGGTTTTTAAGGTTGCTGTAATTAAACCTTTGCTTAAGAAACCGTCTCTTGTCTCAGATGACTTGGTCAATTATAGACCTATATCCAATCTTCCTTTCTTATCAGAATTCTTGAGAAAGTAGTTGCCAAACAAGTGTGCGATCACTTACACCATAATGAACTTTTGAAGAGTTTCAGTCTAGCTTTAGAGCTCATCATAGCACTAAAACCGCCCTGGTGAAGGTTGCTAATGATATTCTCATGGCCTCAGATAATGGCTTGTATCTGTGCTCGTTCTGTCGGATCTCAGGGCTGCATTTGATACAGTTGACCCTAATATTCTTTTAGAGAGATTTGAATATTTTGTTGGAATTAAAGGAACAGCATTAGACTGGTTTAAATGTTATCTATCTGATCGATTTCAGTTTGTTCATGTTAATGACAAATCTTCCACATGCTCAAAGGTTACCTGTGGAGTACCACAGGGATCAGTGCTAGGACCAATTCTCTTTACTTTATATATTTTCCCAATCGGTAGAGTTATTAGACAGCATGGGATTAATTTCCACTGTTATGCTGATGATACCCACCTATATCTGTCTATAAATCCAGATGAAGCTAACCCATTACATAAATTACAGGCATGTCTTGAAGACATAAAAACCTGGATAACTCTTAACCTTCTCCTTCTGAATGCAGACAAAACAAAAGTTATAGTCTTTGGACCAGAGTCTTTGAAAAATAAGCTGATTAGTCAGTCACTTCATTTGGATGAGATTAAACTGATTCGAGATAATAAAGTAAAAAATCTTGGTGTTATTTTCGATCAGGACCTGTCATTTAAATCCCAGATCAAAGAGGTTTCTAGAACTTCCTTCTTTAATCTGTGGAATATTGCAAAGATTAGAAATATCCTTTCCAGGGGTGATGCTGAGAAACTAGTCCATGCATTTGTTACTTCAGGGCTGGACTATTGTAATTCTTTATTATCAGGAAGTCCACAAACTGTAGTTAAAAAGCCTTCAGCTGATCCAAAATGCAGCAGCCAGAGTTCTGATGAAAATTAAACAGAGAGATCATATCTCTCCTATCCTGGCTTCTCTTCATTGGCTTCCTGTTAAATCCAGAATAGAATTTAAAATCCTCCTTCTCATATTTAAAGCCCCAAATGGCCAAGCTCCATCTGATATCAGAGATCTGATTGTTCCTTATGTTCCTAACAGAGCACTTCGCTCTCAATCTGCAGGTTTACTAGTGGTTCCTAGAATTTCTAAAAGTAGAATGGGAGGCAGATCTTTTAGTTATCAGGCTCCTCTTCTGTGCAACCAACTACCAGTTTTAGTCTGTGAGGCAGACACCCTGTCTACTTTTAAGGCTAGGCTTAAAACTTTCCTTTTTGATAAAGCTTATAGTTAGAGTGGCTCAGGTTATCCTGAGCTATCTCTATAGTTATACTGCTATAGGTTTAGACTTCTGGAGGACATAGGGACCCCATTTCATCATTGAGCTGAATTCTATCTCTATTCTCCCACTCTGCAGAACATTATGCTCTCTCTGCTTTTTCTCATTATAGCTTTGCCTCATCTGTTCCTGTTTGGCTGTGACTCTATCCTGGAGAGAAATATAAATCTTCACATTTATATCAGTTAATATTTTTTTAAATTGAGGAGCTCTCCAAGGATGCAAGAGCTCTCCAAGATATATATATATATATGCACCAAAAGTTTGGACACACATTCTCATTCAAAGAGAAAATTGAAGATGAGGAAGTATAGGATAACGCACATTGTAAAGACTGCAAGGGAGTTTGAAAACTAGAATCATAAATAGGTTATTGTGCTGCTTAAGTCTCAAAAAAGGTTGTTATAGATGGTAAAGCTCTGAGCAGAAATGATATGAAGAAATGTATCTCAGAAACTTATGCTGCCAGATTACTGTTAAGTTGAAAATGCTCACTGTTTTCCAAAACAATCATTACTGTCAGACTGTGAAAATTAACTCCAGAGCCCTCACATTACAGCCAATGCTTTCCATGATACTTTTACAGGGGTTTTAAATGATTGGCTTTGATGCTATCATCTCTAACATTTCACCCAATCCTTATTTGTTGACAGTGTCCCTGTTGGATCTCCCATGCAGTTTGTTGTCCAGCTGACTAGACATTTCATTGATTGATTTTACAGACCTGTAGGACTGCTCTATTTTGCAACTTTTTTTGGCACTATGCAAGGAACGCTAAAACGTATCAGTTTCATCATGTGTTGAGATAAATCATGCTATAAGCACGTTTCAGAGGTGTCAAGTAACCAAGTACAAATAAATTGTTACTGTACTTCAGTACACTTTTTAGGTATCTATACTTTACTCCATTACTTATTTTTCTTCCTACTTCTGACTTCTTCTCATTACATTTTCACACAAGTATCTGTACTTTCTACTACTTACATTTTTAAAACAAACGTTACTCGTTACTCTTGGCTTCGGTTTAATTATTATATTATTTCACATCATGTGCGCCATCCATTGCAGATCATTGGCGCCAATAATATATAATAAAAACTAGTGTAATTGGATGAGTCATATAACGCAAACACTCATTGGTTAGCTAAAGGAAATCATCAGAAGCAAGCAGGTGTTCTTCAAACTGCAAATGCGAATTGTCTATGCCATACTACAATGTTGGATTCAGAAAAAGATGTTTAAATGTCTGAAAGGTCAGACACAGGCGAGAGCGTATTGTGAGATAAAGACCAACAAGACCTCCCTCATCGTTGGTCCTATCTCAAAGAATCTTTGAAATAGTCGAAAAAATTAGCTTTCAATTCATATAGTGTCATCTGGCTGTTTTTTTTTTTTTAAAGATTACTTTATACTTTTATACTTTAAGTAGTTTTTGGAGCACATACTTTTTCACTTTTACTTGAGTAAATAGGTCAAGTTGATACTTTTACCAGAGTGTTTTTAAACTGCAGTATCTATACTTCTACTTAAGTAACAAATGTGTGTATTTTTGACACCACTGGCACGTTTATATAACAAGACAATGTTGCCTTTACATTTTGTAAGCTTATTGGGTGTCTGAGCTTTGCCCCAGTCTGTGGTAACTTGTGCAGAGCAGCAGGAGGAGCTGTAGAACAATAGTGTATGTAGCTGAGAGGTCTCCATAAAAGAACGAACTAACTTCTGGATTCCAGATGTGGGCTTTATCTGTGTATTGAACTTTCAGTTCCATATTAACCAGAAAAAAAAAAAAAAAGATGATATAACACTTCATTTGCTTTGTACTGTTGAGGCTTTTATCTCCAAGCTCTGTTGCAGAAAAAATACAGGTTTGCTACATTTTAGGACCCTTTGAGATGCCGCGTTTCAGCTGTCCCCTCACCTTAAGAGGTTTTAATGTCCACATATATCCATCTATCTATCTCTCCGTGCCATCGTGAAGGAGGAGGAAGGAGGAGGAGAGGGGGATAAAGGGGGACAGGAGGAGGAGGAGAAGGAAGAGGCCTGCGGGAAAAGTTTGGCTCAACTTGTGTGAAACTTTTCTGTCATTCAACACCGAAGCGCCGGAGAGGACGGCGCGCACTCCGCGGCGCGCAGCAGGACATCAAACCACACAGAGCGAAATGGATCGACTACTTCATCTTTCCCTACTGGTGCTTATCGACGCGTTGCTATGGCAATCCTGCCATACCCAGCAGAGAGGTGAGTCACCAGAGAACCGATAGTTAATCGATGCGCGCGCCGGGGTCGTTTCTGACATCCAGATCTGAGTTTACCTTTACTTTACAGCTAAATGCCCGATAAATATCTGACACAAACATAAGAAAAGTAATCCTCTGCTCCATTTTTTCCATTTGCATGTTGCCTTCTCTAAAAAGTCTGTCCCATAATGTGAATGACTTTGTTTTAAAGGGGCTCAATTAACTGCTTGGCCTTATCAATGAACACAAGCCCACATGTGTGAGAAGGCTGTGGCCTGCCTGTTTGCTGTGTTTGCACAGAGAAACAAAGGGGGTCAGAGATTACAGATGGATGTGTTATTTCTTAAGCCATAAATTATGCTGAGTGCTTGAACTTTTCTACGTGATGACCTTTTAAAGCTGCTGTGCAGATAGGAAGCTGGAAAAAAAATGCCATTTGGCTGCTTTAGCCTACAGTAGCAAAACTATCAACCTCACTGTATTACTCTTTCAAGATGATTTTTTTTATATTATACATTTATACTGCAATATAGCATCAACTCAACGGTTCTTAACTTCTTATTTAATCAGTTAACTCATTTGTTAATTGTTGGATTGTTTGAATTTTAGGGTCTTTTTAGGGTCATGGAGAGGATGCAATTATTTAATTTTAATATCAGAAACTGGTATGAAGCTGCCAAATATCTTTAACTGCTGGGATTTATACATCTTCCAAATTCTTTGTGTTTTAGTTTTAGTGTATATATTTTGATTTGCAGTTACGAATACATTTGTAAGTCTAAATATAAATAAACAAAGCAGATTTTGTGAAACAAGTTGTTGCTCAACAATG